AAGACTGTGCCGCGGGTGGGTGGGAGCGGACAGAAAGAAGCCGAACGCAACACTGCGGCCAAGATATCGACCCAACGTGCAAGGCGTTACGAATACACTCACGCACTGCGCTGCGTGGGGAAACACTACACCATGCAAAGCAACGCAACGCCATGCAATGTGCAGGGCAGAAGTCAATTTCCATCAGTCCTACGGGCTTAGATTGGGTAACTTTGGAACTCGTCCAAGTCCCCTTCTTTGATTCGGAAGGGGTTGGCCTTCCCCCTGACCCCTCTCCTTGGTCTGGAGCGGAGGTGAACGGAGAGTTCGAGGGTCCATTTGCGCTGAAGATGGCTCCAATATTTTCCAACGGTACCCCAAGAAAGCCTCGGACATGGTTCAAATTGATCCCCAAAGCTGCTCGAACAACACGCCCAACATGCCTCCAAGAGGCTATACGATGCCTCCAATGACGCCCCAAGAGGCCCAAAATCCATCCGATCCCCCAAAGTGCCGATGCTTTGAGCTGCTCGTCATTTTCCATCTGCAAAGCGTCTTCAACCTCAAGATGGCCCAAATTTCTCACAAAAAAGCCCCAAGAAGGACCAGAAGGGCTCCAAGACGGTCCTTAGAGGCGGTTGGTTGCTTCTGGCTCCAGAGGGGGGCCCTTCTAAAATACCCACTTCAATTGTGGCCCGTGCCTTCCAATATGGCCCCAGAATGGCCCCCGAAGGCCCCCGAAAGCCACAAGAGGGCGTCCGATGCTTTCAAAAGCGCCAAGAGAAGGCTCCAGGATGGTTCCAAAGGGCCTCCAAGAGTGTCCCAGGGCGAAAGGTCGGGGAGGTGTTTCTTGTTGACGCCTGCCGTCGTCCTCGTCGTCGTCGCCGGCTTCTTCCTCCCGCACCATCCTCATCCCAAATCGTCCTCCTCCTCCTTCTCCTTCTACTGTTCCTCCTCTTCATTCCTCCTCCTCCCCCTCCCATATCTTCCTCATCATCATCGCATCCAATTCACCAGAAATTGACTGGCAGCGTGTTCCGTCAGCTTCCTCTCACTTCTGCGCGCCCTCCTCCTGGTTCCTCTTTGTCCTCATCCGCCTCCCTCCCCCCCTCCCCCTCCTCCTCTCCCTCATGTTAATCCTCCTCGGCCCGCTCCTTCCTATCCGCCTCCGACTTCGACCTTGTACTTGAAAGCCCTTTTGATTGGCTCACACCATTTCATCCGAGCACACGTATGCAATTGAATTCCGAGTGTCTCGCAGAGAGCATCCACGGATGATTGCACAATGATTCGAGAATGTCTCTGTTACCGACTGCTGGATCTATTACGCTAATCTTTTCTTGTCGGCATTGCAGGATGCCTTCCAGCCTCCTCATGATCTGTCTGCGTCTCTGCATGATCCCTTACCTCCCTGGATGGGCTGGTGGTTCTGTTTCAGTTCCAGTTCCACCTGCGTGCCAGCTCCAGCGTTAGGTCGGGCATGTCCCCCTACAGGCTGACTTGGACTAAAAATAAAAAATGTGTCAAAAAGTACCCCAAAACTGTCAAAATCAAACAAATCGCCCCCTGACTATGTTTTACTACTTTCGAATACTCCTCCTGCAGAGGGACAGGCCCGGCGTAACTCCAGCGGAGCGTCCCCCTGAGGGGCAGGCGGGGGCACCAGAAAACAGCAGGCGCGGAAAAAGGTGAGGGGGCGCGGGAGCTGTTGGGGCAAGGCTGGACCGAGCAGCTCGTGTTCTCCGTGAAGGTCGGCCGCCCCGATCTGTGGCCCAGGCAGAAGTCGAGGAGCCGGAGAGAGGGAGGAGGAGGAGGAGGAGGAGGAGGAGGAGGAGGAGGAGAAGGAGGGCGACGGGGGGGCAGGGGATACGCGAAGCGCCTGGGATTCAAAGAGGTGTAAGGGAAATGAACCAAATCAAGGCAACACATCAATCCAATAGAAAACCACGCAACACAAAATAAAGTGAAACATATCATAACAAAGGGTATCAAAAAAACGGAGTTGAAAACAAAGCAAGACAAAGAATGCAGCACTGTGGAAAGCACCGCACTGTGGAATCAGCGCTGTAGCAGCATGTACCAGTGGAGCTACCTTGTAATCAACCAAGCAGGAGCTTCAGCGCGGTTGGCCTGATACTTTACTCGGATCCAGCCTGCCGTCGCTTCGAGCGCCCTTTGTGTAAGAGGGCGTCGACCGCGATTAACAACTGACGACAGGTTCCTAAGATGCCCACTGGTTCCCTGAGGATGGCCAGTGACAGATATTCCTCATGGAACCTGGCGGCTTGAATTTTAATGGGGTTCTCGACTGTTCTTCGATTCTGAGATGTGCTCGGCGTGCTCGGACATGTCGGTTGCTTCCTCCGTGCTACTTGCGCATTGCTTTCAGCTCCCCCCTTGGGCATGTGCCTTAAGACTCTCCGAGATGGCCCGAAGAACCCTGGCGGACTCCGAGGAGGCCCAAGGAAGCCCTGGGGGCCCTATGAAACACATGGTGGCCCAGTTGAGTTCGTCCTTGGTTGCTGCTATAAGCCCGTATCGGGGCCTTCTGAAAGCGGCGACGGCAGCCTTGGACAGTCTGGGCTGACGTGGGCTGCCTCGCGGCCGTTCTGGCTGGGCCTCTTCTGAGCGGGCGGCCGAGGAGAATCAAAAATGGGTCGGTGATCGCGAAGCGTGTTGAGCGACCACAACCAAGTGTTCCATTAAGTAAATAATGCAGTTGCCTGTATAGCTAAATCTGAAGCGAACGATGCGCTAGACTCTCATACCTGGCCGCTTGCCTGCAGAGGGAGATACATTCAAGTGGCCCAACCGACTTGTTAAGAAACTTGAGCCAGACGCTGTTTCGAAGTGTCTGCTAGACGCTGGCGTCCCAGAATATGAGATACTATTCCGCCAACTCCCTTGGAAATGCGTCGGCCACCGCCGCCATCTCCCTCGTCGGTGGCCCTGTCGCGGTTGCGGGAAAGGGTGCCGCAACGCACCAGGAGCGCTGCAAGGCCCGAGGGTGCAAGCCCGACCGGTCCGGCAGTGGCTCCGGGGGGTCCCGTGCTCAGGGGAGACTCGCCGAGCGCGTTCCACTACTCGCAAAGTGTCTACTCGCAAACGTCCGAAAAGCACATGTCTGCTTCGATGTCATTATCGTAGATCCCCCGCGGGGGATCCAGGCTATCTGCGAGTGCTTATTTTGCGAGTAGTGGAACACGCTCGTCCAGAGACTGCGGCACCGCTCCAGGGTGTGCCGCTGGCCGATGCTGCAGGGCTGGGCCCTTCCTCATTGTCGGTGCCTCGTGCACCGAGGCGCCCGGGTCGCTCGTGGCTCTGGTGCGGCTCCTGCCTTGCCTGCTTCCTCTGTGCTGACCCGTACTTCCCAGTATCTTTCAAGGTCCGTTCCCTGTTCTGCTGTCTGCCCGGGGGGCGGGAGGGGGAGGGGGGGGGAGCGACCGGAACAGAAAAGGCGTGGGGAAGGGGCTCGACGACGACGACGACGACGACGACCACGACGGCGACGACGAGCCTCCTGGCCGCTCTGGGCTGCCCAAGGATTCCCGTAAAGACGCCACCAGACGGTCAGGTCAGCCCGAGAGGCCTCTGGGACGGCCCCAAGAGGCCGCGAAGACCAAGAACCCTCAAGGGTCAGGTTGGGCATGTCCTCCTACAGGCGGATTTTGGAGGAAAACAAAAAGTAGCCAATGAATGCTCAAAAATAAACCCAACAAAAAAAACGATAGGAAATTCGTCCCCATACTGTTTTTTGTTGACTCGGTTTGAATATTCCTCCTGAAGAGGAACATGCCCGACTTAACTCAAGAGCCCAAGACGGCCGAAGATGGCAACAAGATGCCTCTACGATGGCAGAGGGGGACCCCAAGTGGCCCCAGAGAGGGCAAAAAAACGTCGAAACCAAAAACACCGCTTTCAATGTTTTGCCATGCTTCACGCCTGTCCCATGTCTTGCTCCCACAATGTCCCAAGGCCGCTTCAAGACAGGCCCTCAGAGCCACCGAGATCGCTCAAGAGGGCCCAAGGTGACCCGAAAGGCCCCATCGTGCCGCCGAACTTGCCCTGGATGACCCATCAAGGCCACAACATGACCCCAGCATGCACCCACGATGGAACACAGGACGCCCCCAAGGCTGCAGAGGGTGGCCCCAGAGGCCTCAAGCTGTCCCCGAGAGGCCCTGAGGTGGCCCAAGATGGCCCCAGATCCTTTCCAACACAGCCACAAAATGGGTCAGCCTGGGGGGCCGGCGGCAGAGGGGGCAGCCCCTCGCGTAGGCACCGCGTCCCACATGTGCAGGCGGCGGGCAGAGGCTCCCGAGGCCCCAACCTTGCGCACTTCCGAGCGTGAGCCCCGCCCCATGTGCTCACACCCGGCACGGCCCCCAAGCACTGCCCCAACGTCTTGCCCCCAAGTACGTCGCCCGTGTACTGTGCCCATGTCCTGGTCCCATGCGGTGCACTCGTGCGCTGCCCCATGGACTCCCCCACGTGCTGCCCCCGTGCGCTGCCCCCCCCCTAGTATCGCCCTCCTGAACTGCCCCCACACACTGTCCCCACGTGCTGCCCCCGAGATGTGCCCCAAGAAGCCGACATTTCCATCCAGACACGCGCGGGCAGGGAGAAAGTCAAACGGCTCGGCCCTCATCACTCTGCTGTGCTGTGCAATGTGCTGTGCTACACTGTGTTAGAGGGTCCGTGCGGCTTCTTGACACTGCGTCGCCGCTACAACGCGTGCCGAATGCATACGCGAGACTCGACCTGGCCTTGAAAAACGTATCCCGTCTAGGGCAAAGCAAGCCCGGCGGACAAAGAGAGCACCCGTAGGCGGAGCCCGTTCCCAGCAAAGACTTGCATGTTCTGGAAACTGCTGCACTGAGGGCATGGCTAGTAGCGGCTAGCAGCCAAGCACTCAGTGCAGCAGGCTAGTGTCCCGTTCGCTGTAGCCTACAGCGAACTGGACAGCCTTGCACTGATAAGTGAAACTGTGCTGATGAATCCGTCTTTGGGAAGCCAGGCTCCACGCCCCAGCTCTGCAGCATGCGGGCCCGCCTCATGCAGAAGGCGATGCTGGGGGGGACAAATACATACCCGCCCTCACACCTCTCCTCCCCAGCCTTCTCTGGAGGACGGGAAAAAAGTCTGCGAGCACGGGTGCCGTGCGTTCCATGGCGGTCGCAACGGAGAGCACGTCCACGCCGACAGACCAGGGCGGACTCCGACGATGGAAAACCTCTCGGCGTTCTGCTTGCCGCGGGCCCGAGAGATCTCAACCCCGTCGCCAGGACTCGCCTGTCCGCGCGGGCTGCTTTTTCTGCTGTGGGTCAGGGCCCCCGGGGACCCGCAAACGGCCCCCGGACACCAGGAATTGCCACAGCAACGCAGCCTGCAGCGGTCTTGTCGTGGCGCTGGAGGCCCAGGATGGAGCGCAGAGCACAGCCAGCCACAAGAGTAAGGATGCAGGGGAAGGATGCAAAATCCTTAGGCCGACCAGGCAAGGATGGACCGAACAGGCACCAGGCCGACATGAGCCGGGCAGGCAGGGATGGCCCAGGAGGCAGGGATGCCGGGGCGGCCTGAGTGAAGTACTGTATCCTTGCTACGGCAGGTTCATGTCGCGCCAACCCCAGCGTTGGTTTCTGACACCGCGGGGATCGTTCAACTTTGCACGATCGGCCGCTTCCGCATCGTCAAATTGTTCAACACCGACCGGTTCTGGGTCGCCGGCGGCGTTCAACGCTGAACGCTGGCGGCGGGGTCGCCGCCAGTCGACACGACGCAAACCTTCCGCACCTGGAGGAAGGAAAAACTACATAAGCACAAACTTTCGGCGCTCCACTTTGATTTCTTGGATCCGCTCGGGACCCCCCTCCCAGATGGTGCCGGAGACGCCGCCGGGGGGGCCCCAGCGCGGATCCAGGAAATCCGCGCCGAGCACCAAAAGTTTATGCTTCTGGCGTTATTCTTCTTCGAGCAAGTCTACTGTTAAGTCGGGCGTGTCCCCCTTCAGGCGGATCTTGGGCGAAAAATTAAACATATGCAGAAAAATACGCCAAAAGAGTCAAAATATAATCAAAAAATGATCCCCAGACTACTTTTTGACTACTCTGGAATATTCCTTCTGTAGAGGGACAGGCCCGACTTAAACCTATTGAACCTGTGGTTGGCTGCATGGGTCCGTCCCCCCCAGATGTGCTTCTGGCTCGGCACCCCCGTCGCCAGCTCCAGGGCGTTCGCGGACAGCCCCGCGTGCAGCCAGGCGAGGGCATCCACGGCCACCGCGCGGCCCGCGTACTCCCTGCAGGGGCCAGGGCTGAAACCAGGAGGAGGAGGAGGAGGAGGGGGAGGGGGAGGAGGAGGAGGAAAAGTAGGAGGAGGAGGAGGAGGAAGACGAGGAAGAAGAGGAGGAGAAGGACGCGGAGCAGCAGGAACCGGAGGAGGGACCGAAAGGGGCGATGGGGGACCCAGACCCCGTCGGGTTGCGAAAAAACGCGACGGGAGGTTTTCGCTGTTTGGGGCCCTCGCCGGCCCCCGGGACCATCAAAAAGCGACCAAGGACGAAAAACCAGTCCTGGGGACGGGGTCCAGACCTCTGGCTGTCGACGTTGTGAAAAAAATCACGACGTCGGGGGTCTGGGGAAGGACCCTGAGATCCGACGAAGCGAAAAAATAGCAACAGCGTAGAAGATCATGCCTGGAGCCTTAGGCCACATCTTTCTGCGTCATTTTTGGAGCCGGACCGATCTGCGAGGGTCCCGGGGCCCGAGAAAACGCGAAAACGCCCGACTCGCAAAAATTGAGACGCCAGGATCTCAAGGGACCGAGAGGGGGAGGGAAGGGGGAGGAGGGAAGAGGTCGACTTCGACCGTTCGACTGGCCACGCACGGGTTCTCCGAGTGGCCAGGTCCGGGGTCCGTGGGCGGACGATGCGGGAAAAGGCGGCGGCGAAGCGGGGCAGGCAGAGCAGCTGGCAGAGGCGAGCGTCGCGGCCCCGTGTGCATGCACGCTGTGTGAATCACGCCTGCCGGAACGTGGGCACGTGGCCCTCGAGCGCGAACTGAAGCCGGATCATCGGGTCGGGCATGGAGCGCACCCTTCGGCTGAGGAGCTGATGGAAGGCTCCCTGCCTGGCCAGTGGGCGGTTGGGATCGCGTGGTGAGCTGTCGTTTGGTGGCACACTCACTGGTTGCATAATCGAATGCAACGTAGGTGCGGTGACATGCACGTGCGGGTGCCCCAACGGCATCTTGAATGCCCAGTGAAATATGAGCAACTGGTCGAAATGGGCATGATAGCCGCCGAGCATGAGGGACTCCTTGGCATCCCCACGCGGAGCGGCGTCAACGAACATGGCGCAAAATCCGCATGGTGTTGGTGGGCGTAGGCGGAGTGGCACGTCGTGCGTGCCTGGCTGCTGGACCGTGGTTCGGTGCATGCCGTGTCGCATGCTGTGTGCATGACAATGTGGGTGACGGGCTGCCCGACAAGTGTCTTACTGATCACTCCGTGACTGACTCCGCCTCTTAATGACATTCACAGGTGGGTGAGAGCGGAGACTGACGGGCGTGCTCCATGCACGCAAGGGCCACACGATAAATGAGTCGCTGCGCCGATTGTCCTCGACCCGCCCACGTGGGCGACGCCGACACCACGGAAAATTCACGGCAGACCCTGCGTCCCGCGCCCAAGGAGACGCAGCCGGCGCCGCGGCAAACCCAACGGCAATCCTTGGCTGCCCCCCGAGGCGGGAAGCCCCTGGGCGGTGGCCGAGTCAGAGCGCGCCCGGAGGCCCTCCTCCGAGCGCCTCGAGGCTGGGAGGCGCCCGCGAGCGGCTCCGCGGCCCCGCGGCGCCCTGGCACCGCCGGGAGCGACGAGGGAGGGCCGGGCCCGCGATTGGCTTGTCTTCCACCACCACCACCAGAAGTTGGAGGGGGAGGGGGTCCTCCCCACCCCCCTCCTCCTCCTCCTCCTCCTCCTCCTCCTCCTCCTCCTCCTCCTCCTCCCTCCCCACCTCCTCCTCCTCCCTCCTCCTCCTCTCCTCCTCCTCCTCCTCCTCCTCCTCCTCCTCCTCCCTCCTCTCTTCGTCCTCCTCCTCCTCCTCCTCCTCCTCCTCCTCCTCCTCCTCCTCCTCCTCGTCTTCGTCCTCCTCCTCCTCCTCCTCCTCCTCCTCCTCCTCCTCCTCCTCCTCCTCCTCCTCCTCCTCCTCCTCCTCCTCCTCCTCATCCTCCACCTCCTTCCCCCCTCCAGCCTATGGTGGTGGTGGTGGAAAACAGGCGCATCAGCCCTGGCCCTGCTTCAGAGGGCACCGACAAAGTAACTACCTGCACTGCCCAGGCCGATCCTGGGCCCAGGATCGGTGCACAGGGGCGATTTCGGAGACCCTGGGCCCAAAAACGTTTTCATCTCTTGGGGGAGCATGTTTCACTTCCGCCGCGTTCCGCCGAACTTCCGCTGGCGGAGGCGGCCCCGCTTCACTTCCGCCGCCCTTCCGCCGCCTTCTGCCGCGGAAGAGATGGCAACTCCTTCTCTCCTCGAAGGCAAACGCCCCCGAGGCCCGGCGAGGGCCTCCGGAGGCCGAAAACTGGCAAAATCTCCCGCCGCTCCAATTTTCTTGGAGCGTCGGCTCTCGGGGGCCCAGGGTGATCCTGACCAGGATTGGTGCTGGACTCCGATGCGGGTCAGGCCGGGAGGGGGGGGGGGGGGGCGGCAGGCTACCCCTCCTGCTGCGCCTTCGTCGGGGCCTCGCCCGCTCCGCCGCGCCAGGCGTCCGCGCCGAGCTCGCGTCGAGCCCGCGCCGAGCGCGCCGGATCCGTGCCACATCCGTGCCGGATCCGCGTCGAACCCACGCCGAATTCCGCGCCGAACCCGCTTGCAGGATAGGAAGGCTCCGCCGGAGGTGCGAAGCAATGCCCCCCCCCCCGCCCGGCCCGCCCCACCCCGCCTCACGTGGGCGTCCCGCTGCACGCCCTCGAGCTCCCTGAGCAGGCCTGGGGAGGGGGGCGCCCGCCGTATACTCGCCCTCCGCGGGGGGGGCGTCCAGGAGGGGAGGCGTGCAAGAGGGGGGCTCGCGGCCACGGGACGCATGGAGATAAAAAGGGGGGCTAGCATGGCCCCGGCCACGGTATCCACCACCATCCCCCGCCACCACCCACCTCTTGACCGCCCTCCCCCCCACCCCCGGGCGCTTGAAGGTCCCCCCAAGCGAGGCCAGTACACATCGTCGCGCCCCCTTCGGGGCCAAGGCGATCAGCCGCGGAGCACTCTTATTCAGACACTCCGCCGCCCTCCCCGACGAAGGGAGGCCAGGCCCTGAGAACACAGGCAGCCCAACGCAGCAAAACCCCGGGCGAGCGGGGCTGGAATGACCAGGGGGGTGGAGTGAAGCGGGCGTCTCCGTTGCTGCTCTGCGAGCCGCGCGGCCCTCCAGGAGGAGGGGGAGGCCGTCGGGCCCCCCTTCCAGCGTGGGGGGCCCCTCCTCCTCCTCCTCCTCCTCCTCCTCCGAGGCGGGCCTTCCATGGGCCAAAGCGTGGCCGAGAATCACCCCACGGAGGGAGGGAAGGAGAGTGGACGTGGACTTCGAGGTCCGACATGAAAGAGCACAACGTCATGAGATGTCACAGCCGGAACTCTCGACCGCACCTTCGCGCGGGACTTCTCGAGCTGGATCGCTGCGTGAAGGTCTGGGCCACGAAACAAAGAAAACTGCCCATCGTGATTGTGCCACGACCACCCGATGTCAGTGGGGGCGGAGGTCGAGGTAGAGAAGGGGAGGTGTTTGGGGGGAGGTGGTCGTCAACTTCTCAACACGAACACGACAAGCTGCTTTGCTCAATGCCACCGGTCACCCCAACACAGATACTTAGCACCAGAGGCCCGACTTAGGCAGCGGCCGCCATCGGCATCGGGAAGCAATACACATGCCAAGTGCGCCACGCGCACACAAATGCGATACGTGCCCCTGGTGCTCACATGCGCATGGTACGCCAGATGCACCACGTGGGCCAACTGAGCCGCGCGCCAAGTGCACCACGTTCTCCAGCCTTGCACGGTACGCGACGCGCGCAATGTGCAGATTGCGCCAAGGCGCGTGGCAGCACACGTTGGGCAATACGTCGGCACCCCCAGCATCCCTGCTAAAAACGACCTATGCAAAGTGGCGACGGGGTGGTCAGCATGGTATCTGGCGCGTGCACCCGCAATCGTTTCGCATCAGGTTTTCGACGAAGATGGAGGGGCACCGCCCAGCAGATGGAGGGGCAGCCCTGACAACAAACCATTGCAGAATGATGATCGGGCGCCGCACACATGGCCCAATGCTTGCCGCAGACTGCACTGCACAATTGTTTGTGACAGGGGTGTCCAGGACCGCCAAACTGTTTTGGGTCAGCTGCCACTCGAGACTGGGGCGGGGCGTTAATAAATAGAAGGCAGCGATGGAGGCGGAGGTGGGCGCGAAGGTGCAGGTGCAGGTGCAGGCGCACGTGGTAGGGGCAACGAACTCGCCGACTGGAAAAAAAAAACATGAGAGTCCAAGGCTTGCGGAGGGAACGCTAGCTTAACAAAGGGCCCGACCGCCAACCCTCTGCAATTGCCTGGAGCGCTGGGCGCGGCCCACTCCTCTCATACTGCGCGCCGCGGGAAGAATGGAACTCAGGGAAGCGCAGATTGGAGCTTGTGGAGCAAGCGCGCAGAAGCGCGTTGCATTGTGGGGGGCACGATCCGCGTGAGAGGCGTGCCGAAATTGGCGTGGGCCCGCACGCGGGTCCTCCCACTGGAACCGCAGGTCGTGTTCCCAAGGGCAGCACGATCCGTTTAAGACACGCGCCGAAAAGGGACTCCCACCGTAGAGCCTACGGAGCGCGATCCGTCTTAGGGGTGGGCCAGTATGTACCGGGGGCCGCATGCGAAGACGCCCACTGAAGTCGTGGGCGGGGTCTCTAGTGGGCACGATCCGCGTGAACAAACTTGTTTACTTGTTAACGGGGCACGGTCCGAGTGCGAGGTGCGTCGGAATGAGCGGCGGGCCAACGAGCAAACTTGTCCACCAAGGCCCCAAAAAACCTGCGGTACACGATCCTTGATAAGGGAGTGCCGGAAAGGCGGTTGGCCCACATGGAAGCGCCCGACGGGGCTGTAAGTGGAACCCTATGTGGGGCACGATCCTTTTTGTTGCGGGGCGCGCCAAAGTCTGCGAAAGCCCATATGCAAACTTACCCGTTGAGGCCGCGGGCGGGGGTCCGTCCGTATGGGACACGGTCCATGCGTGCACGAAGTGGGTGGAGGAGGGCGGGGGGGGGGGGGGGGGGGGGCGAGTTCGGCGCAGGCTCTCAAACTCGAGCGCCCGCGCCAGGCGTCTCCGCCGACACCGAAGCGGCGCGCACCTGCCGTGTAGGCCAGGAGGCGCGAAGGGCGGCTGCCCCTCTCAGAGGAGGAGGAGGAGGAGGAGGAGGAGGAGAAGGAGGAGGAGGAGGAGGAGGAGGAGGAGAAGGAGAAGAAGGAGAAGGAGGAGAAGGAGGAGGAGGAGGAGGCGAAGGAGGAGACGAAGAAGGAGGAGGAGGAGGAGCGAACGTCACCTGGCGGGCACCTTCGTCAGCGGATCGCGGCGGAGCGGCCCCGCGCCACAGACGGGACAGCCAAGCAGTCCCATCGCTCGGCGAGAAGCGGCTACGGCGCCCACATTGATGTCGTAGATGTCACCAGAAGGGGGGAGGAGGAGGAGGAGGAGGAGGAGGGAGGAGGAGGAGGAGGAGGAGGAGGAGAAGGGCGAGGACGACGACGAGGAGGAGGGGAGGAGGAGGAGGAGGAGGAGGAGGGGGAGGAAGGCGAGGAGGACGGGGAGGAGCAGGGGGGAAGAGGAACAGGGGGGAGAGAAAAAGGAGGAGGAGGAGGAGGAGGAGGAGGAGGAGGAGGAGGAGGAGGAGGAGACGAGAGGGTACTCCGCTGGCCTCCTCCGCTCATATCATTCGCCACAAGCGGCGGCACTGGCAGATAGTGGAAGAGTCACGGCACAATGGAGCTCTGCAAGCGCCAGGTCACGCAGGAAAACTTGTTGGAGTAGGTGTCTGCTGCCCGCGGCGGCGGCAGCAGGAGCGAGCAGAGGAGCTCGGTGGCCAAGCAAATCTTGAAGACAAGAAGGTACTCGACGACGCAGATGATCGCCACTAGCGACGGCAGCGGCAGATACGCGCAGGAGAGTCTCAGCACCATGAAGCACTCCAGGAACAGGGCAATGTCGGAGAATTGGTAGGTGCAGCTGTTCACCACCAGCGGCGGCAGCAGCAGGAACGCGCAGAGGGGCGGCATCGTCATCAAGTTCATCAGGAGCGGGGCCTTGCAGATCAACAGCAAGCGCTTCAGAAGCGGGGTCATGCATGTGAAGGCCACCTTCGACGGCACCAACAGGAGCGATCAGTCTGGCGCAAGCGCCGCATAGCGCACCTTGAACTCGACGAGGCGCATGCTCGCAACCAGACAGCAGCGGCAGGAGCGCGCAAGTGAGGTTCAGCACCAGAAGGCGCACGTCGTTCACGTTCTCCGCGGAGTTATTGGATGTCGCGCCACCTTCGTCAGCTCGTCGCCCATGCACCACATAAGCCAGGTGGCGCAAAATTTGCGAACGCGGCGCAAGCGCTGGCTGGGCTGGGGGCGGGACACGCCGGGAACCAATCGAGGAACAGGCGAAAAAATTAAAGTAAGAAGAAAGCGAAAGGGCGAGAGCCGCTCAGAACATGCAGTTCGTCGCGGGCATGCCGAAGATGCGAGGCGCCCTGGCGCGGCTGCGACACGGGCAGCGGTGGCCAGAGCCAGAAGAGCGAAAGTGGAAGGCCTTGAAAAGGTACGCGGCGAACCTGAAGTGGTGAGCTCTGGTGTACTTGAACGAGCAGGGCGCAGTGGCGGAAGCCGAGGACCACGAAGGGGTAGGCCTTGCGAGTGTACACGGCGAACACGAAGTTGCAGGCCCGTAGGCGGCGAACTTGGACGGGTAGGCGGATGCCAGATGGACGAAGAGGCCCAGAAGGGCAACACGGCAATCAAAAATGGCCAGACAAGCCTCCACAAGTGAAGTCAAGGGCCAGGTAGTGACAGTCTGGGCAGACGGCCAGAACACGAAGGCGTCACCGACGACCAGGGATAGCGAACTGGGTTCGGTCTGGGCAGGAGCCGGAGCCCAGGGGCGACCCAAGAGGTGGGTGCGAAGCACAAGATCATCAGAGCCAGACTCAGCTTCACTTGCCGAGCAGCACCTGGAAGACCCATGCCGAACTGCCCGATGACGCAGCAGCCTGGCGGGGCCGCGAGAGGGCCCGGGGAGGGGCCGCTGCCATGGCGGTGCGGGCCGGGAGGAGGGGGGAAGGGCGAGACGGAGGAAAAAGACGGGCGAAAAAAACACGCACCGCGTGTGAGGCCAAGTAGCCAGGTAACAAGGCAACCAGGGGGGCGAAAAGCCAAGACGGAACGGTAAAAGAGGACAGCATGCACGGCCATGCCGCCGAGGCACAGAACCAGAAAATCTGGGCGGTGGGCGGCGCGTGGGCGTCCGCCAGCCCCGCGGGCCGACGGGCGCCCGTTCGATCTTCGTAGGGGCCCCCGTTTGCTGTGCTCCCAGTGGTCGCGCTGCGTCGGGGCGGTGCCGGGGTTGCCCCAGGTCGTGCCCTTGCAATGGCCCTTCCTGGCCGCGCTCCCCCTTTGCCTAAAAGAACGAAACGCCATAAACATACACTTTTGACGCTCCGCGCGGATTTCTTGGATCCGCGCTGGACCCCCTCCCTGGCGCGCGGAGCGCGCCAGGGGCGGCGCCAGAGGCGCCACCGGGGGGGCCCAGCGCGGATCCAAGAAGTCCGCGCAGAGCGACCGAAGTTTCTGTTCGTGGCGTCGTTTCTTGTTCGATTGCCTGGCTCTGCTCTCCGCTGCTCTGCCGGCGCCTCCCCAGTCGACCCAGACGTCCCGCCGCTGCGGCCACCCCTAGTGATGCTATGGGCCGCGTCGACCAGGCTCCAGAGGAAGTTCGCGGGGCGGCCTGTGGGGATCGGCGCCAAGGGGGTCCACGGGGCGAGTTTTCGCGGCGGCGCGAGGGCCCCAGTTCCAACTCGGGACCGTCAGAAAACGACTCAAAACGAAAAACCGGTCCCGTGAAAGGGGTCCGGACCTCTCGGGGTCGACGTTTTGAAAAAATCACGACGTCGGGGGTCTGGGTGCCAGGCCCCCGTGAGCCTGTATTCTGCCTCGTTCTGCAGCCTTTTGACAGCCGTTTGGGCCGATTCGCCCGAATGCAGGTACCAGGAGATCTGGTGGAAGGGCCTTCTGTAACCAGATGTTGGGCACCGGGGGCCGTTCCCTGTAGCTCCCTCGCTCGGGCTGCCTTGACGCGTCAGCCCGTTCGCCCCGCGCCCACCATCCCTCCCGGTTGTCCCACGAGCAGTGCTGGGAGCCTCCGTCATGCCATCCCCCCCAAGGGTCCCACCGCCCGCTCGCGTGTCGTCCACGGGGGCGTGCTGGGGCTTCCTTGTCGTCCGGGGTGGCCGGGCGGGGGGCCGGGCGAGCCCCGGGGCTCCTCGTCCCGCGCCTGCGGGGCGTTGGCGACATCGGACTGGTCGTCCCAGTCAGGCTCGGATGTGGGATCCAACGCCCATGCACACGCCCAGGGGGAAGAGCTGCGGCGGCGCGATTGGCCAGGCCCTCGGTCCGTCACGTAGGAGGAACAATTGAGGGCGAAGCAGTGCTCCGTCCAAACAGTGGTGAGGGCCGCGTTGGAAGGCACGGCATCGACGAGTATGAAGTGCAGTCGAAGACCGCGTGCGGAGCATGGTGGCGCCGCCGCTGAGGAGCCGTCGCATCACTTCCAAGAAAGCGGCAGGCGGGTATGAAGAGGCGGCCGAGAGCGCTGGGCACGGGCGGCCTCGAGGTGAGTGGCCATGGGACTCATCGTGGCCCTAGTGGGAAGTTATCCCACTTGAGCTAAGAAGGGCCCTTGCTGCACAAGGGGGAGGGAGGGGGAAGGGGAGGTAGAGGAGGCGGAGGAAGAAGAAGGAGGAAGGAGAGCAAAAGGAGGAGGAGGAGGAAGAGGGGGAAGCGGAGGGAGAGTAAGAGAAGGAGGAGGAGGATGAGGAGGGAGAGTAAGAGGAGGAAGAGCAGAGAGAGCAGGAGGCAGAGGAGAAGGAGGAGGCGGGTGGGAGGAGGAGGGAAGGCCCCCCCCCTGGCGGGCTGCGCCCACGGGGCTCAGCTTGGGGGCCCCCTCGGGCCGAGGATGCCCATCGCCGGGCCGCGCTACTCGGGGCGCAGGCGGGGGCCGCCCTCGGGGCCGGCAGTACCCCTCGGCGGGGCGTGGCTGCGACGCGGCGGCGAGGGACGGAGGGCCCCCACGCCAGTCGTCACCCCTGCCTCCCATTCCTCGCTCTTATCCTCCTCCTCATCCTCCTCCTCCTCCTCCTCCTCCTCCTCATCATCATCATCATCATCATCATCCTCATCCTCATCCTCATCCTCATCCTCATCCTCATCCTCATCATCATCATCATCATCATCATCATCATCATCATCATCATCATCATCATCATCATCATCATCATCATCATCATCATCATCATATCATCATCATCATCATCATCATCTTCATCTTCATCTTCATCTTCATCATCATCATCATCCTCATCATCCTCCGAATCATAGCATCAGCATCATCAGCATCAGCATCATCATCCTCATCATCATCATCATCGTCATCGTCAGCATCATCATCAGCAGCAGCATCATCATCATCATCATCATCATCATCATCATCATCAGTATCATCATCGTCATCATCATCATCATCGCCATCGTCATCATCATCATGAGCAGCAGCAGCATCAGCATCATCAGCATTAGCATCATCACCAGCAGCAGCATCAACATCATCACCGTCATCGTCACCGTCATCATCATCATCAGCATCATCATGAACATCATCCTCATGATGATCAGCATCATCATCAGCATCCGCAAAATAAGCATCATAAGCATCATCATCAGCTGCCCAAGCATCATCATCAGCAGCATCATCATCAACAGCATCAGTACCATCAGCATCACTATCATCATCAACAGCATCATCATGAGCATACGTATCATCATCATAGTCATTATCATCGTCATCGGTATCGTCATCATCATCAACATCATCATCATCGCCATCATCGCCAGCATCATCATAGTCAGCATCAACATCAGCATCAGCTTCATCATCAACATTGCCAACATCAGCATCATCATCACCGTCACCATCATGTTGCCCCATATCACTCTCAAGCACCTCCTCCTCCGTCTCTTCCTCCTCCTCCTCCTCGTCATCATCCGCAAAATCGTTATCAGTATAAGACTCAGCATCATCAATACTGCATCCTCCTCGTTGTCCTCTTGAGCAGTATCACCATCCCCCGTCCGTCTCTTTCCTCCCCCTCCAACCTCCACCCGAATCCAGTATGTTGCAGAACTAATACATCCACCGTTGACCCTGGTCCATCATCCCTCAACACGCCTGCTTCATTCCGCATCCCCCCTCCGTCCTTCCTTTCCGCCCATCCGTTTGGATTGTCACCCCCCCCTTGCCCATCCATCAATATGATCACTCGTTGTCCTCCTCGTGTCTCCTTTTCACTGCCCTGCCCACCATCTTCATCCTACGCATTCTGCTCAGCATCCGCATGCTCCTCATCCGTATCTGTCCCATCGTCATGAGTACAAGATCTATCATCATCCACTCCTCTTCCTCATCCACCTCCTACTCATCAGTCCTGTCAACCACACCTCAACCCACCAGTCCATCGCATTGAGATTAAATGAAGAAAGTACGGCCTTAGAGTGGCACTTCCACAGATGTCTAAGTTGGTCGATGCGTCGGGCAAGCACGTCTCAATAGAACCGCTGCCGAAGATGCTAGCACTGCTACTGCTAGAAATGGCGGTGCTGCTGCTGCTACCAATGCTGGTGACTGCTAGCGCGGCGTTACCCAACCGTTATGTGGTGTTGGGCTCTCGTTCTGAATCAGCAGCGCCCCCCGTTTCCTCCCTGATTCCCGCTCCTCCTGCCTCCACGAGGTGGTACGTCCTCCTCCCTTCCCCTAGTCCCCCCCCCCTCTCCCCCCCTCTCGTCCTCCTCCTCCTCTTCCTCCTCCTCTTCCTGCTCCTCCTCCTCCTCATCATCATCCTCCTCCTCCTTTTCCTCCTCCTCCTCCTCCTCCTCTTCCTCTTCCTCGTGCTCCTCCTCCTCATCCTCCTCCTTCTCCGCCTCCGCCTCCGCCTCCTCTTCCTCCTCCCCCTCCTCCTGCTCCCCCTTCTCGTCCATTGCTTCTCCTTATCGAGAACTCCTCCCTGTCGCACCCCGAGGCCAGTTTTAGGGCGGGCCGGGCGTTTCGCCGGAGGCTTCCTCATCATGTATGACTCTGAAGCCTAGAAAATGACAACAGCCTCACAAATGGAGGGCGGGTGGTTTTCAAAATGTGGTTGTCGCCTTAGCGCCGCACACACCCTTTCAAAAAATTGCAAGAGCTTCACGGATTGAGGGCGGGTGGCTTTCAAAATGTAGCTCTCGCCTTAACGCCGCGCATATTCGTTTTAAACATTTGCAAGAGTTTCACGGATCGAGGGCGGGTCCCTTTCAAAATGTGACCCTCGCCTTAGCGCCGCGCACATTCGTTTTAAACATTCGCAAGAGCTTCACGGATTGAGGGCGGGCGGTTTTCAATATGTAGCTCTCGCCTTATCGCCGCGCGTATTCGTTGTCAAACTGGCCAAGAGGTTCATGTATTGAAGGCGGGTGGTTTTCAACATGTGGCTCTCGCCTTGGCGCCGCGCACACTCGTTTTCAAAAATGCCAGAGATTCACGGATTGAGGAAGGGTGGTTTTCAAAATGTAGCTAGCGCCTTAGCACCACGCACATTCGTTTTTAAACATTTGCAAGAGCTTCACGGATTGAGAGCGGTTCCTTTCAACATGTGGCTCTCGCCTTGGCGCCGCGCACATTCGTTGTCACAATTGGCAAGAGCTTCACGGATTGAGGGCGGCTCCTTTTCAAAATGTGAGTCTCGCCTTAGCGCCGCGCCGCGCACATTCGTTTTAATGTTTGCAAGAGTTTCACGGATTCCCGTGATCAGCGTACCAGAAATGAAAGGATTCAGGATTCTGTGGGTGCAACAGTTCTGTCGAGTCGCGGTGTTGAAGTCCACAGAATGGCGCTGCGGCACGATTCCAGATCGTCAAGACGCAGCAGTCAGGTTGAGACGTGGCGTTGAAATCCCGAGAACAATGTTTTGGCATGCTTCAGGATCTTCAAACGGTTGCCTTCCAACCAGGCAGTTCCCTCTATGGAAACGAACCGTTGTGGGGGCCTGTGAAGGGGGAGCTTGGGGGGAGGGTTAACTCCAACATCGATGATGACTCTTGGTTTTACACTGGTCCTCCTCCTCCTCCTCCTCATCCTCCTCCTCCTCCTCCTGCTCCTCCTCCTCCTTCTCCTCCGCCTCCTTCTCCTGCCTGCCCCTTGTATGTAGACTGCGCGGCGACCGTCGACTGCCTCCGTAACCTCAAGGGGGCAGCGGGCGAGAAGTCGGCCAGAACCCACTGGTGGTCGGAGTTTGCCGATCGCCTCGAGGGAGTGAGCGTGCATAAGATTCCTGCTCACACCTCGGCGCAGCATGCCCGCGAGGGCAAAATCACAGAGTTGCAGCGCTTTGGGAACTCGGAGGCTGATCGTCTGGCCAAGGAAGGAGCTGAGCCATTCCGCATGCAGCAGCGCGATCGTCACCTTGTCGTTGGGCTCTCGGAGTTTGTCCGCTGGCTTCGTGTTTTTTGTGCGAGTCAGCAGGCCGAGTGCAGGGAGCTTGCGAAGAATGATCACCAGGGCTTGGAATGGCTGAGCTACGTCTTGCTCGACCCCATGCCTGGTCTCCCCCCTGTCCCTGTCGCCCCTGGGCCTGGTGCGCCTAATGTGTTGCGGGCTCTGTTGAGCCGCCAGGTGTGCAGGGTGTACCAGGAGAGGGGGAGGAAACGAAGGCCCCTGTGGGGCCCTCGCAGGGCGAGCAGCCTCCCGAGGAGCCCCCGACCCGCGGAGCTTGGCTCCGGAATGGTCACACGCTGGAGCAGGGAGATGCTTATGAGGCGGATCGCTGCACATTCCATGACACCATGTTGTGTTGCACCGCCTGTGGAGCCATGGCCCAAGTGGGAGGGCCTTCTACTTGACGAGGTTTCGTGCTGGTCTGTACCCTGCCCATCGGAATCCCAGAGGGCTCACGATGGCTTACCTGGGGGGGCCCCACCTTGGAAACGAGGGGAGAGTGGGCCCCTTTCTTTTCCGCCTGGGCCGAAGGCCTCCAGGGGCCTCCGAAGCAGGTGCGGAGGTCTCGGGCGGCTGTCCGAGAGGGCCCAGCTGCCGACCTTGTGCGAGGTCTCGCGCTGATGGGCCTCATGCGGCGCGAGGTGGAGACCCTCGGCGCTCGAGGCCAGGCGCGCCAAAGGAGCCGTGAAGGATGTGGACCTCTTCGGATCCTAGGGCGCCTGGCAATTCCGTTTGACTGTTTTCGTCGAATTCGGTCGTACCTCACACGGTCGTGCGCGTCCCTCTCCTGCTTCTGCTGGTGTTCCTCCTCCTCCTAATCCTCCTTCTCCTCCTCCTCCTCCGCCTCCTCCTCCTCCTCCTAATCATCCCCCGTCCTGCCCCCCCCATCGTCCTCATCCTCCTCCTCCTCCTC